CTGCAATGGAATTTGCAGTGTGATGGCCATTAATCATGTGAGCCATTTTATCAAAATCTAATTTAGTAAGTTATAAGCAAAAGGTGCATAACAAAAATTAGAAAATCTAGCTACAAAACACCAATTATAAAGAAGATTCTAGCAAAGATGGATCTCTTCTGATTTTCAGTAATATACCAGTACAATATAAATTGAAAAAACATAAAAGGAAGTGGAGAAGCAGAAAATGACTTGTATGGTGCAATTTTTTGAGATGACAGCTACAGTATTGGAGATGCCATTTTACGGTAATCTTCAAATTTGAACTATAAAGGGAGATAAAAAGTTCAACTTACATTACCAAGTATATGTTGGGTTTGCAGGCGACCAGGTTCACCCAAATTTGTACGCCATGTTATCTGAAATTTACCTAGAATCTTACTTCCCTCAATTTTCATTTGTGCACCATCAGGTGGCAAAAATTTCAGCTGATACAGATAATTATAAATTCCTTCCCCATGTCTAATGAGAATGGGTTCCTTGAAATTTTCTCTGGAAAAACAAAATACAAACACAAGAGATACAAAAATATAAAAATAAAAAATGATGCTAACAAATTAGATCCACTAGTATCGTTTTTTTTTTTCAAGAATTGAATATCTTATCACTAGCTCTTGAGTAAGTAATATTGCTAAATTACCTTGCTAATGGATTATGATCAAAGGAATTATCAGGAGCTTTTAGCACAGTTGCAACCCAATGCTGAGCTGGCTCGAATTCAACTTGGTCTATATAAAGGTGAGATTTTGTATGATTTTCTAAACACGCCTTCAAAAACGTTGTGTCCTCAGAGAGTGAATTGAATATATTGAATAGAAGAAATGGTTATCTTGCAGCTGGCCAGCTGCCGCCTGCCAGAGCTCAAATAAAATGCAAATTATTGTTTCCGAAAACAATTTGATTATATGTCCATGGAAATCACTCCAAGGGCCCTTCAGAATAAGGAAAACCAACACTATAACATAGACAAGTAAACACCTTAAAAATCAGACAAAATATCTCGAAAATCCTCATTCTTAACAAATCATGTAGCAATAAATCATTATGCACACGCAAAAAAATTGTTTTTTGGAAGGTGACACACTTACACACCAAAAAACTTTCACCATCTTCAACATACCTTAACATTGCGAACCTGCATTAAAGAAGAGTTACTATCACTTCCTGGAAATCAACATCTAAGGTTATCCAAACATGGAACGTGCAAATTACATGACATGGATATCTTATAATAAAGAGTACCTTTGTCCGTACTGAGATGGGGTTAGAAACTACAAACTTGAAAAACTGTGGGAGATACTTCCTCTCATTTCCACCATCAGTGTAAAGTGCAGTGCACACCAAGCTATACAAAACCACCACAATTAAACTAGTTAGAGTACAGTGTGCCACAGAACAAGTGAACCAAAATAAGCACTTCTTTGAATTCCCTTACGTGTGTGCACCAAGTTCTTTCACATCATGCTCCACAATAAAATCGTATCGCCCCCCAACACGTACTGATTCAACAGGTGAATGTATCCAGAAGCAGTATCCTCTATCTTTCTGTTTGGATTTCAGCCTAAATAATCAAATATGAAATTTCTCATATTTTTGAGTTGCAAACGAAAATAAATTGAATCAAGTTATTCATTCATTCTCCAGTAACTCCACTTTATCTCATTCGAAAGAAATTCCAAATCTAAACGACTCGGGCAATCACTACATACACAAATGAACATGTATTCTACCTTAATCACAACATCACGAACTTAAAAACTTGAGCTGTTGTTGATACTTATGTAACTGCAGAATGTCTCCCCAAGATATATCGCCCTAGCCCAAGAAAAAATGAAAATGATTGGCCAAATAACACAGTTCATCTAAAATTTATCACCTCACAGTGAGGAGAAACATCAATCAGCAATTTCCAAATACATTTATAAAAACAAAGAGATTTGTGTGCGCGCCCGCGCGCGTGTGTGCAGCCAAAATACCCAAATGATTGGGGGAGGACGAGAAGGCCTGGGAGGTCGAGCGAGTCGGTAGGGTGCTGGAGGAGGAATCTGTTGCGGTAGCTAAGATCGAAGGGATCCACGACAGAGGGATTCGATTGGCTGCTGAGGAAGCAGGGGAGACCGGCGGCGGCGATTGGATCGTCGAACAGGTCCTCGCTGAAAAGGAGGTCGCAGGGATTGAATTTGAGAGGGGAGGTGTCCACGTGGACCGTCGGACGGCACAATCGCATCACTCTGAAAGCTAGAGTGAGGTGACTGTTGCGCTGCGCCGCCGCTGCCGCCGCCGCTCATCTCTTTGGCCTTTCTTTTCCGATTAGTCGAGCTTTTTCTGATATTGGTTAATTTGGTGTGCTCAGGGAGTATGCATTGAGTCGAGTTTTCGATTATATTCGAACTTTGTTGGTCGAATAATTAAATAAATAAATTTATCTATTAATATATAATAAAGATTAACATAATTCACTTTTAGAAGTACTTTCCCGTCAATTTCATTAATTATTGCCTAAAAATAGTAAATTAACAAAATCTCTATTTATTAGCATATTTTTTTTATCCAATTTTTTTTAGGAATAAAATAAAAAATATGGAATCAAAATCAAAATAAATCTAAGAAATACACTTACCATACTTAATACACTTAATTTAAGAAATACACT